TCCGAAAGTTGTTGCTTCAAATCATAAAGTTGATAGTATAAGCCTTGCAGTCGGTACTTCAAACCCAAATTCCAAAGTTAACACTTCCAAACCGAAAGTTGGCGATACAAGGTATGAAATTCCATCTTCGTTGGAGGATATCTTGGTAACGCCATTTGATATATCTCCACTACCTCAGGCACCATCTCAGATGAGGAGTTCAAAGTCTTCTCAAGGAGCAACTGTTTTTACCTCCACACCAAACTATCTTTTAGTAAAAGAAAAAATAAAAACACCCAAGTCAATTTCACAAGCAGCTAGAAAAGCTATAAACCGAAAGGTGTTTGGAAAAAAGAAAGAAAATAAAGGGACAAGTTTTGATGAAGATGACGCCGCCTGCATATTTTGATTGGAATTATTCAGTAAATCGCAGCGAAGGAGGTTTGAATTATGTGCAAAAAATGGTCTCATTCATTGTGCACGGGTGTTACAGGAAAGCAAAAAGTGTATTTTTGCGATTTTTGCAAATAAAATTTATCTTTTTTACTTTCGCTTGACAAAAAAAATATAGAGGTAATTTTACCCCATGATAAGGGTCATTTTACCCTGAGCATGGTTTAAAATAGTCCCTGAAGAACTTTTTAAGAATTAAATTATTTTTCTGTTGTTTTTATTATTTGGAATCATGTTTTTAGAGAACTATGTTCCGGTCTGTTCGTTTTATTGTTTGATTAAAATGTACTTAAATATTCCGTTGTTTTGGTATATTTAGCCTAAAAAATTGTTAAAGGGGCCATTTTGCCTTACTCTCCCCTATGATGTAAGAGATTAAAATCACTCACTCTAATGTTTCACTTTTAGATTTTGAGCTTGTCAGCTGATTTTTAGCCTAAGTCTAAGATGAATTTATTGTTGTAACGAATACATACATTTTGTTAAGATCCTTTTAATTTGCTTCTGTTTGAATAAACAGATTATAGTTTAAATATTAAGACTTCGGAGATTATTCTAATTATAACAAGATTTTCATTTATTTCATGTTCTAAATGCGATTACCTATTTAAAATTCTTAAAACAGGTATACTTGCCTTTCTTAATGTTTTGGAAGTCAAAATGAATTAATTTGTCTTATCTCCTTTTATGTTTATACAACTTTGTCCACGAGAGTTCATTACTATTATTCTGTCTTTACTCCCTTATAGCACAGCTTATACAATATTATTATTATTGTTAAGCTGTGCTTATAGTTCAATAAAGCTTAATAATTCAGCTCACTCAATTGGGCATTCCAACGACCTGTCCAAATGGCTACCAGTGGGTAATGACAGTTTAGATATGGCAACCCTGTTGTCATGTTGTCATTAACAGGGTCAATGATACATATATAGTTATATAGATTGCTCAAAGCTGGTCGTTTACGAGCGGCCATATTGCCTGGCAAATATTTATTAATTTGAATCGGTTTAACAAAAATGTGTTTTAAAACCAAACCAAACATAATTGCTTACATTTTTACTTCAGGGCATAAGCTTATGTTTATTTTGAAAAATATGGATGATTAATCTATGTAACTATCTATTTCATTGACCTTGTCAAATCACCAGACCTACAGGGTTGCCATAATTTTGCCATATCATAAGCCGTCAGAACCCACTGGTAGCCATTCAGTTTGGAATGCCTAATTAGGCATTCCAACGACCTGTCAAACAATAGGTGCCAGTGGGAAATTCTTGTATATTTAAGGGGGTAGCGACATAGTCTTGCAACTTGGACGCTATTTTTATTCAAAGTAGTACTCGCCAAGCCTGCCAATTTATAAAGAAATGTATAGGTGGGTTTTTTAAATATTATTTTTATTGTGTTTGACATAAAATATTTAAATGTAATCCATTATTCATGATTTTACGTAAAGTAGATAGAATACACCATATGTCGCCACCCTTAGATATACCAAACCTGCCCACTGGTAATTCATTTGTTTGGAATGCCTAATACACGAATTTGAGAGACCAAAACCGAAGCACAGATTACCCAGATGCGAAAGTTGACAAAGAACATCAAAATTAAGAGAGAGATAAATGGCCATACCCATTTAAAGGTCCCTCGTAGCAACTCGTTTCCACTCGCGTAGTTCCGAAGGCAAAAATTATTTCATTATGCAAAGTTGCCGATGCTCCTAAATTTTCTGATGTTATGTGACAATGGAATTTAAGTCAAATGAAAATGTACATACATTTTTTAGTTACCCCCACATACTTTGATTTTTTAGTATGTGGTTACCCCAGACGTTACATACAAATAACGTATAATTAAAATCCTCTAAACAAAAATAATACAAAACCATTTAAAGGTTTATAGTTTATATTTATCAATGACAATCAATGACACTTTAAAAAACTCGTGAAATTTTAATTTTTTATGTGACAACCTTGCTTAGGATGCTGTAAGTGAGATGACATTTCTGTGACATTCAGGACAATCAGGACCGGTCGTGACGCTTTGCGTTGTGTGCATTTTTGGACAAAAATATTGTGTATTTGTGTCTAAGTCTTCTTCTGTAGATATATAAATCATGAGTGAAACGAAGAATATACGTCGTGGTGGCATTTGGGCACTTATAAAATGTCTTCGAATTCATAGCTGTAAATGTATGAACACTTCTCTACTGCAACTTTCGTTTTAGACAGCAACAATATTTTTATACATTTGAAAGGTTATGATATCAGAGTACATTTATCAGTTGGAATATTGCAGTTTTTAAAAAATATGGAAAATTACTTACCTTGTCCCACTCTTGGAAATAGTTTGTATAATTTGTTTAACCTTCACCTGGCCTCGTGGGGGTACGTACATACCCCACGCGCTTTCTCGTCGATTTTCGATATCTAAATCTTCGAAATCGAAACTCGTAACGACATCTATGGTAGTCAAGGGATATAGGTACTTTTATACCTATGCCAGATAGCGCTCTCAAAATAAATACTTTTTAAAGACCCATGAAAACAATTATTTTTCTTTTATAGTGATGTAACAGAAGAATACAGCTAAAATTTCAGCCCTTTTTATCGAAAAACAAAAAGTTTTTTTTGATAAAAACGCATTTTTTTTCAAGCTTTTAAATTTTCCGGATTTTTTATGAACGTTGATCTTTTTTTAATTCGAACTATTCTAGAGTTTAAAGTGGTATCTAAAGAAGATCTCTAAATTTTTTTGAGAAAAAATAATCAATATTTCAATTTTTACAAAGATTTTTATCACTGGGGTTCGTTCGTAATAAAATTCAACAACATATATTTCAGAAATCAGCAAAAAAAAGAAAGGTATGTATTTTAAGTAATGTCTTATTGAGTGCTTTAGATCTGATTCTTCATTAATTAATTAATTCATGAAGAATTTGATAAATATAAAACTAAAACCAAATTTAATGAATATTCATGAATAAATGTTCTATTTTGCATTTTCAGTTCAGAAGTATCAACCTACCAAACTATTTGTTTAATGTTTGTTTTATTAGGTTTGTGGCTACATGCGATAGAATTGTAATTTCCTGCTAATAGGGTTGTATGCAATAAGTATTCAAACCTCAATTATTTAAAAAAGTTGTATTGGTATACTTGTTAGTGATGAGTTTATATTGTATCCCAACAAACAATGAATTGCCGGGATATTGCTGGTCTTTTGCTGTAATTGAAGCAAACATGAATGCGAGGATTAATAAAAATAAAAGAATACTTTTGTCCTTTTAAGTGGCCCAGCATTATGTTGGTTGATGAATGGGTGAGAGCCAGGTAAAAGTCAAAAGGCTTTTTAACTACCTTAATAAATTTTGAAAATATTAATACAAATCATATTCTTTTTCTATTAAAATGTTTAAAAATGAAACTCCTATCGATAACTTTTTTAACATACTAATGCTGCTACTATACATTAGTTACCTAAACCAACCCTGGCATCCAAAAAGCATGTTTAGAAAAAAATCATATTTAGTAAGACTGATTGAAAATAATTAAAATTGGCAACACCTATGCCATACCCATTTAAAGGTCCAAGGTCATAGAAATCTCATTTCAAAATCCTTTGATCTTTTGCCGGGTTTCGCATCTGTTGTGGTTAATCTGTGACCGAAGTGACTGCGACGTTTGACCAAAGTATATTAACCGTTGAGTAGCGACATAAAGCGTCGGTGCCTTTGATCTTGGGTGGTGCAAATTTTCGTTCTCTCTCTTTTGACGTTATTGACAGAACGACACACTAAAACACTGCTCGAATTATCAACTGGTCTTGAATGTGATGTTTACACTGCTCGACGTAATTTGAAGTAAAACTCTTTTGTAGTTTACATTTATAATAAAGGTTTGGTCATTAGGCAGTTTTATATTTATGAGTATTTAACTTATGTAGTAAATATAAAGATATATATCACTACTATTGATAAATTTCAATTTTTTTACCTACGTCCGGATGAGCTGAAAACTTGAAAGTTGGTAGGTGCACAGGGTTTTGATTTTTGATAACAATAGAAATTATTACTTATGGACCTTCTTCTTTATTAATCGAGTTGTCTCAAACTTTAAATTTCGCGTTGTTTAAACATGTCGCTGAATACAATTTTTGACTAATAATGCGCCCCGTTACTCAAAACTTTTAATTCACGTTTAAAGTGTCTGCCAGAGCAGGTATCTGATTTGACAAGTTATTCATACAACAATATGGAAGTCCTATATCAGCCGCCGGACTAAAGTGAAAGAGGTTATTTACATCTTTAGATGACGTCTCGCCTATTTCGCGTCGGCGCACTAGAATTCGGTTACCCAGCTGTCCCTATTGCTCGGAGGTCGCTACTCAACGGTTAATATACTTTGGTTCGACGTTAGTAAATCATAACAAGATGGCGTCGAGTGATTTTACTTCCAGACTGTCATACTGATTTTATCTCATGTGACATAAATGTTTCAGAACAATAATCTACTAGTTTATTTCTAAAATAAAACCAAAAATACTACCAATGACATTTAATGTGAACAAAGGTACTTCATATCACTCATTTGTTTTTTTTTCGATTTGTATAGTTTAAAGTGCACATGTACATTTCCCTTGAATTTGATCTCCCATATTGTATCCACAATTTCTGCAGAACAATTCCATCTCTTCATTATGGGGCGTCAAAAACGGGAAGAAACAGATTGGCCAACACGTAAACAACAAAAATATACCAAGAGGTTTATCGACCACCTAAAACATTTTTTTTTTTTTTTTACATAATTGAAATCAGTAAATTGTCGCAATATACACACGTTTGTGATTCGTTTTCGTATGTGAGGCCGATCCATTAAATTGCAATTGGGGCATCGTACCCTTAAGCTGCTTTCTTTCCATGATTCGACTAAATGAAAAGACAATGTGGACAATTTAATTCACAAAACAACCGTTCAATTTGTAATATACTTTACCTGTAGTAGAAAGAACGGTATTTTTCTTAATTGTTTTTTTAACTGGTTTATACTTGACTATAAAAAATAAAAAGCAATTAAAAATGGCGTAAAAATCGCAACTATTATATTTTACCTACTTGGAGGTTTGCAAATTAAAGTGCGTCTCTTAATTGTATTTTTCTTAATGGGTTTGGTATCTGCAATAAAAAAATAACATATAAGGTAGCATACAATACGTCAAAGATTATTTTACCACTTGCAGCTTTGTAAACTACGTTACTGTTTTTCAAATCCTCTTTTGACCAATTTTTACATATCCATATGGCATTACTGTCAGCTAGAACAAACCATTTAAAGATATTAAGTATAAACCTGTGAAACTAATTTAAAAATTAGGTACCAAAATCTACTAGTTAACGACTTTTGATTATCTCCGGAGGGGCGTACCATGACGCGGGCTAAAAAAAACGGTCATCGCCTCTTTTAAGTTGGTATTTGCAATTTGTAGTGAACTGTATATTTAAATATATATTTAAATATACAGTTCACTGGTAATTTGTCACTGAGCAGATACAAGAAAAATATCTATTTATTTATTGATTAATATATTTGTCACGCTCACGTTTCTTATCTAGCCTCCGAGTCATCCCCGAATATTTGGCGCCTATGCTATTGACTCTTTTTTAGAACTTTCATCTGATTTTTTTTTGAGTATATAGCAACATGGCTAAAGCCGATACTGCAAAATGGCAGTTACTTAACCTCACAAAATAATGTAATGTACTTAGATTAAAGAGACCGAAGATGTAACATTGCACACTGCGCATGTTGTCTATTTTAAGCCAAAGTAACCCACCAATTGAAAATCATTGTTGCACGACGCCACCCGAATTGCTCCGATTTCCATTCAGCGATCACCCCCACCTGAGTTTAATCACCATTGACAGCTGTTTTTTGATTTATTTGTTGGTATTTTAGCAATTTAAAGTGTTCTAGTTATTCAATTTCAAGTTCAAAATGTCACGATGTATCTTGAAAAATTGTATGTACTTATAATACAAGTACTACTGTTATGAATATATTCGTTTTCAGCGGTAAATATTTATTAACGTTTTGACATAAAGCGCCATGATTCTCTGGGCTGAATACTTCAGATCCGCATTAAGGGGTTTCAATAAATATTAAGCATCAGAAATCAGATTTCATATTACTTACATAAATTTACAAAAGGGTAAAATTTTGAACATTTAATTTAAATAAATAGTAAATAGGCATTATTGCTAACGAAATTTTGTATTTAAAAAGTAGTTTTATAAAAATGTTTTCTAAAGGTAGTTTTTAGCCCTTTTTGGTAAATAAATAAGAGGTAAAGAATCATAGTTGCTAGCTAAATTTTATTTTTATAAGGTATTTTTATAAGAATATTAGATGAAATACAGGATGACCTACTTAAAATTTCAAGGTTCATCTTATTTGCGGTCAAATCGAAAGTGACATTGAATTTTCAGTCTTAAAACAAAGTAATCTAGTATAAGCCCAAAAAAAATACTAAAGTTACAGGAGTTAGGTCCGATTCCACCGTTGTGTTAAACGGAGATTAAAATGACAATGTTAATGTAAAAATGTCATTTTAAACTTCGTTTAACACAACGGTGGAGTTTTGGAGCTAAATGATCAGATAAAAGCAAGCGACCGATAGGGGTTACAAAAATAATCGATTTATCAATAATTCTGATATTTTTTAATGAAAATCGATTTATCCGCTGTTTTTAATAAATTATTTTTTTTAAGATAATGTATTAATCGATTTTATAGGAAATACAAAAAAAGTAGATTTATTCAAAATAATCGATTTATCGTTCAATCGGTTTTTTAATTATTTGATTATTTTCGATTTTTCGAAGATATTATATGAAAATAATCGATTGAATATAATCGGTTATTTTACATAATCGATATTTTTGTTATTTTTTTTTAAATTATCGATTTATTGGATAATCAGCTTTTTAATAATCAATTATTTTCGATAATCGAATAATCAATTTCAAAGGAAATTAGAAAAAAGGATTATTAGAAAATAATAGATAATTCGTTTTATTTTTTGGAAAATCGATTTATCATAGAATCGGCTTCTTAATTAATTGGTTATTTTCAATTAGGCGATTATTTTGGAATTATTGATTATTTTTGGTATTTCAAAGATAATCGAATTATCGATTTTAAAGGAAATACAATAAAAATAGATTATTGATAATAATCGATTGATCAAAAATAATCGATCATTCTGTTTTTTTTTTTTTAAATCGATTTGTCAGTTAATCGTCTTTTTAATTAATCGATTATTTTTGAAATACAATAAAATAGATTATTGGTAATAATCGATTTATCATAGAATCGGCTTCTTAATTAATTGATTATTTTCGATTAGGCGATTATTTTGGAATTATCAATTATTTTCGGTATTTCAAAGATAATCGAATTAACGATTTTAAAGGAAATACAATAAAAATAGATTATTGATAATAATCGATTGATTGAAAATAATCAATTATTTAAAATAATCGATCATTCTGTTTTTTTTAAATCGATTTATCAGTTAATCGACTTTTTAATTAATCGATTATTTTTGATTAATCGATTATTTTCGATTTTTCAAAGATTATCGAATAATCTGTTTCCATGGACGAAAAAAAATGGTTTATTTGAAAATAATCGATTATTTAAAATAAACGATAATTCTATTTATATTATTTTTTGTAAACACTGATTTATCGGTTAATTGGCTTTTTAATTAATCGATTATTTTTGATTTTTCAAAGATAATCAAGTAGTCGATTTTAAAGGAAATGACAAAAAATATATTGTTTGAAAATAATCGATTGATCAAAAATAATCGATTATTTTCAATGATCGATAATTTATTTCGATAATCACTCATCCCTAGCGACCAAATGACTTTTAATAGATTTAAATTTTAAAATGTTATCTGGTTTCAGACATATGCATTTCTAGAGTTTTATGTGACTCATCCTTTATAATAATTAATATTCTTAAAGAAAGAAGCCTTAATATACTTTTTTCTGAGGTTACAATACAAAACAGCATTTTCTCATTTTGACTAATTTTTAATAATATGTAATAGCCGTAGAAAAAATATAATGTTTAACTCATAAGGGTAGATTTGCAGTATTAGCCTGCGTACATGCTATTTTTATAATACTCGTAGACAATGAGTAACATTTTTGCTCTATTAACAATATATTCTATTTCAACATTTTACTGTAATCTCTTGCAGAAAAGTCCGTAGTAAATAAACGCTATCGAAATATTCTATAAAAGGTCTTCTCTTTACATAAAATGTCGTGGCATCTGTTTGATATTAAAAAATCACGTTAATTTTATTTCATAATACAAAATTCGATTAAACACCTTTTAAATAAACCTAATAGTTCATTAAGATGCTAATAAACAAAGTCCGGTCCCTGTCACAGAGTTCGGGTCGCCGCGTGTCGCCGCCCAGTTCCCCCACTCCGTTAACCCTTCTTTAGAAATTGGCAACATTTGCGCAGGTTTAAAACCGGTGTATGTTATATCTCTGGTCTCTTTTATCTAAGGTAATGTAATAATGTAATGAAATTGTCAAATTATATACATACTTACTTTTTGTATCCTTATTTCTGCATATACGGCGTCGTTTAGCAGTTAGATCTTCGTAACTGGAAAAAAATGTTAGATCAACATCGGGATGATGCTCCAAAAGGTGTTTCCCTAGAGGACATGTACAATTTACTTGAAGTTCTTCTCCACACAGTTCACATTTTAAATAATAATCCATTAAAATTTCAACCAAATGTTCCGAATGGATCGACCGTTTCGGAACATTTTTATCTGAGAATATTTCTCACTGTTCAATGTAATTTGACAAATTTAAACTATTTGAATTGGCATTTTCTGTTTCGCGGGCGTTCAATCAGTCATGCAATCCCAAAATATTGAGTCTAGCGAGTTTCCATGAGGTGATAGCAGATGTCTAAGAAATAATACGATGATGCCATATTATATACATCAATATTATGCAACAATCTCTTAATAGCTATTTATGAAACCAGTGGCGAAAAATGCCTTATTTTATGTAACGAGTGAATATTTTCGGGACGAGCAGAGCGAGGTCCCGCAACATGAACGAGTTACATAAGACGGCATTTCGTAACGTGTTACATACAACTCTTTTTCTAATTTTTGTTGGTTATTTTGTAACGAAATACCTCCATAATTTTGATGCATATTGTTTTGTTTTTACACTTGTAGCAACCGAGAATAAAACGTTATTAATTCAATATCTAAAAGATTTTATTTATATTAAGTAATTACAAGTATTTTGACTAAAATTGTATTTTGGTTAAACATTACTGACATTTAGGCAACCACTATTACTTTCTTGTATTGTTAGTTCCATATTCATCATTTTATTGACAATAAAATTAGAACCACGATTAGAACATCATTATTAATTACTTATTTTCAACGACTTACGTGTTTATATTGTTTATTAAAATTTAGTTTTTAAAAAAGTGGGTTATTTTGTCATGTATTGTGTTTTAATTATTTTGTACTGATTAGGACTTTAAAATAAGGACCAAAACAACATTATTACTAGGTTGTAACTTTAACCAATTTATATTTTTATAAGTCAACCTGCCCTTCTTTGATATAAACTTTCAATAATTATGTATATTATTGATTTTAAAACCAAAAAAGGTATCCGGTGAATTAGACTTTAATGAATGACTTGAAAAAGTCATAAACTTTTTTCATAGATATTAATGCGTATATAAAAAATTTAATGACAAAATTTTGAGCACATTGGAACGACATACTTAGTCTAATCTAGTACTACGACTCTACCTTGTCGTGTATGTGTTACAATGTATTCATATTCTGATTGCTCAAAAATAATTTTGAAGAAACATTCATATCCATGTATTCATTTTATTTTTACAAACAAAAAATCATTTATTTACGCGATCATCCAATTTGTCGTACAATTTGGCAACGTTCCATACTTCGTATTTTTTCGGTCTAACTCGATGCTTGCACTAGAAAAGTATCTACAATGACAATTTCTTTCCCGCCATTTTAAATGTCAAAAATTTCCAAATCAAAACAAAACCAAAATGGAATTATCCAATGTTACAACGTTCCTTCAAGATTTGGAAGAAATTCAAGAATTAATGAAATGCCAAGCTTGCAACAATCCCGACAAAACTTTAGGCAGAATAAAAATTTGCGGACATTACTCTTGTAAAACTTGTTTAAAGAAATCTGACACGAGTTGTCCGAAATGTAAGATATTTTGCACGAACGCCGATATCGCCTGGAAAAACATTTTTACAGAATCGGAAAGTATAATTTTGAACTTGAAGGATTTATTATTACAAGCAGTGAAACGGGCTGAACCGAAAAAAAATGGCAATACTTTTGAATACTTAAACAAAACTTATCAAATCAATTTCATTGATGATCAAAGAGTGAACACCAAAGGTGAGACACCTCTGCATGTTGCGTGTAAACGGAAGAATGTTAAAGATGTGAAGAATTTAATAAAGAAACAATCTGATCTCAATGCGCAAGATTTTGCTGGATGGGTGCCTTTGGTAAGTTTTTTAATCACTAACGCTATATATACGATATTTACATTGTTTTTTGTACTAAATAACTTTCCACCCTTCCATTATTTATTACGATTTATCTTAATAACTTTTACCAGCTTATTATTATGTTGATATAGGACTAAGTTATCCTGTGATAACTTTATTCAATAATTATTGAGCAAAAAAAGTAAATTATACTAGCCTATTGTCTGAAATCGGTAAAATATCTCGTGCAGTGGTCCAAGGTTCCATTTTGGGTCTCTTCTTTACAATGTATATGTAATTTTCCATCAATATTATTTCATAAAAATAATGAAATTTTATCACTGCAGGAAATAAATAACGATATAAGTACTCAAATAGAATTCCCTACCAAACACAACTTAGTAATCAATAAAAATAAGTGATCTGCCATGTTCTTCCAATAACATTTCTGCGAATATAAATAATGTTTTTTTAGCCATAACAGAAAAAGCAAAAAATGTTGGCATATTATTTATAATAAACTAAAGTTCTTTGATCATATTTCATATATTTTACAAAAAAACGTATCAAAGTATACATTTATTAAAGATTCAACTGTATGATTCTCTTGTTCTAAGTAATGCTAACTACTGCGATTAGGTCCTGTCTCTTCTCTCAGTATATGATTTCAATAAAATACAAAAACTACAAAATTCTTACCTAAGGCTCATTAATGGAATAAAATAAGTTTGAAAGGATTTCTCACACTTTAAAAGTAGCAAAGTGGTAAAGTATGTGAGACAATAGAAAACTTCATGTACTAATCTTGTTTCACAAAACAGTAAGTAAATGTTTATACTCGAAATAAAATGCTATTGATGTACCAAAACGCAATACACAGCAGTTTAATAACAGTTAAGTACTAATAACTGATATCGAAAGAATATAACAATGTTGCAGATTCCCTAAAAAATTTATAATGAGCAGTGCACAAATTTAAAGTCACTATTTTTTCAAAATAGATATATGTATTGCATGAGCGTCTACAAAGCATAAGCTATCATTTGGTGCAAGAATGATGCGAATTTTTTCATAAACAACAAAGTTATAAATACTTTTGACTCGTCCCCTTCACAAATTTGAACATGACTTATCTCGTTCTTGCGCTAAACTTTAAAATAGGCAGGTCTATGCATGTTGATTTACACTCTATACAAATAGCAAGCAAAAACCACGACGTGTCATTTTTAGCAGTCAGATTAAGGACTAATATATTAATTACATAATATCTTGTTTTTGTTAAATTTTTATTTTTGCACCAAATAATTTTTTTCTTTTAATTTTTGGGTTTTTTATAAATTTTTTTATAAATTCCAAAACAACTTTTATTTTTAATTTTTTTTTAAGGTAAAATACACTTAAGTAAATGGATATTTAAGACAACTTCGGACTAAAGCCTTCAAACAAGCTACCTCAAATAACAATAATAATAATAATAATAATAGGGTTCTACTCCTATTTATAATGATTATTTAGCAAATAATCTAATTATGACATAAAAACAGTCTATTATATTCACAATATATAACTCCTCCTCCCGCCTTTAGTTTTGAAAAATATGGACTTCTGTGGGATCTTCTAATTTAATTTCTTGGTTTTCTTTCTTAAAAGTTGTCTTCTGTATTTAATTAGTATTAAAATAATTGAAAAATTAAAATTATTTTGAAAATTCTTAATTGGCGTTAATTGTTTAGAAATTTGATTAAGTTCATATAAGTCATTAAAATATAATTTAGTTATATTAGAAGTTTGATAAAATTTTGAAGTTTGAATTTTCTTCATGTCGATGTACAGTAGAATGAATGGCTTTCCTGTGCTCAGTTGAATGTTGTTGATATATCTTCTTTCATTGGTCCAAATTTCACAAGATTTTGGTATCTTGATTAATATAGACAACCTAATATCTAAGTACTGGTTACGGTTACATTTTGAAAGAATTTGCTCAGGTTTTGAAGGGATTATTAAGACTTCATCTGCGATTTGTTTGAATACTAACTCTTCTAAATTAACATTTATAATATAACAATTTGTCAAAGTTTTTCATTCAAGAAGTTGAAAAGTACAATTATCTCTGGTCATGAAATTCTGTTGACAATGATAGATTTCTTCAAGGGATGGACATTCTTCTCATTTAAACTGTAAATCTTGATGTTTTTGTGGTAAATAGAGGAATAAAGGTACATTTTTTGGTTTTGGATAATTGGGAATAAATGATAAAATTCAAAGATATTACTTTCAAAAATAGGAAAATATATTGCATAAATTTACTTAGATTCTGAAATTGATACTTGCGTTCCTAAGAACTGATAATATGTTAATATATTTGTAAATTTTATAATTTTATCAACATCAACATTATTTAATTTTGCAAAGGTTATGGCATTTTCTAAATTATCCATAAAATAAATTGCCATTTAACAATCTAAATCAGTTTGTGGTATAATGGCCTGAAAACTAATATAACTTTCAAGTGTATCGATTCTATTATAAATAGCTGCTTGAATTTTGTCCATATTGTAACGTTTGTTTAATTTATTTATAGTTTATTTAAAACACACTATTTACAATTTATATAATACTTAGGCACTATTATAACCCCAATTATAATTTATTTATTACAATTTATCTTTTCTGTCCAACACTTAAATTCAATCTGCTCGTCCGTCGATAACTCGCGCTATTTATACAAAGCCCAGCTCTGTACGAGTAGTTTCTAGACGATGTCGAATTTCCGAGAATTTCATGTCTATGAATCAACCGCTACGTACCGATTTCTCTGGTAGTTTCGAGAAGCGGTGCGATTGTCTATATTGCCGGACTTCATACCGCGGGTAAGGAGTAAACAAAGCAAAGGGTAGGCTTTTGCGCGACAATATCAACTTTAAATTTTTCTTGATTTTTGCCTAGGATTGTAATTGAGGTTGCCACGTGTCCTTTTTTGAAAAGGACAGTCCTTTCTTCCAGCAAAATGTCCTTGCGACTTTTTAAGCTTAAAATGTCCTTTATTACGGCATATCGTCGCCCTTATCACGAAGTGACCTAACCAACAAAAATCAAAAAAATGCAATACAGCATATTACTTCTGTGTCCTATCTGCAATAACGCAGAATATTTTCCTCACGAATTGTTCTATAAGTAACTTTAGGTATCTTAGTGAAGTAAAATAATAATATGTGATCCACAGGATAAACTGCAACCTAACTGAACAGATGCTATGTTTATTTTGTGTAGAATCTTATGACTGTACAATATACATCGACAACTTCAAGAACATACTTATACTCTGACTTATCCTTGCCCAAGATGTACAATATGTTTTTGGAGCATCTTGAAAAACGAATTTTACTAACAAACCGAGTTATCGTACGTACCGAAAAATATTTAAATAGCAAAATTTATCTTTCTGCAATCCAAAAAAGAATCAATGTTCCCTCTATATAACTTACTTAGAGTTAATAGCTGTAGACAAAAAAAGAACAATAGAAAACAAATCATTTCTCTGTGGAGTTTATACATGCTAAGAAGCAAGGAGAATGCTATTTACTACAAAACAAGATTTAGCAACATTTGACTTTACTTTTTACAATATTGATACCAAAGAATGTCTTTGCTTTCCATTGAATGAAACAGAGATTCTTCTGAAATATCTACATGTATTTTTAAATCTTTGGAATATTTTATGGATAAAGACCAAATTACTACCCTTTCTTTCTACTCGAACGGCTGCTATGGCCAGAATAAAAATCTTTTGATAATTGTGAAAAAATATCACTAGAGTTTTCCAAAACAAACCATGGGCAGAGTGGGGGACACTCTGCTCATGGTACAATAAATACTTCCATAATAGGTGCTGGGGTCATTTTTCAACCCTCACAACGGTACCTAATTTTTTGATTGGCCAGAAGAAAACAACCTTAGGTCGTCATTCCAACGAAGTACTCAGATTTCTTGGATTTTAAAATCTATGAGAATCAATTAGAGAAATTGCGTCAGGAGAAAATTTAAAGTGGACTGAAATTATGGAATTTATGGTCCGAAGAGACATGCCTTCTAATTTCTTTTTCAAACGAAATTATTACCATAAAGAGTATGACAGTATTAAAATAAAAATACTGACAGAAAATATTTGTGATATTAAATTAGAATCTCTCAACACAGAACCAGTAAAACTAACAAGCAAGAAGTATTCTGACCTAATCCTTGTAAGTTAAAGTCAAATGTCCGTGGTTCGATTACCTTAATTGCAGAAATATTATCAGAGATTACCTCATGAAGAATGATAGTTTGAAACGCAATTCCAACTATTTTTAATCATTAGTTTTCAGTTGTTTATTTTTCTTAATAAAAACATTAAACATATTTTTTATATGTTTGTCATTTCCTAAACATGTACTAAATATAATTAAAGGCAGATAAAACATACATAATATTGCATTAAAAACAATGACAACTAAATTAATAAAATTTACTTAATTAAGGTCTATCTGATAAAGTCAGAAAATTGTTTGTCACAAAGTGGCATAACTGACTATTTTAACTTTTTTTAAAAAATCCCGAGGGAGTTTGGCTAATCTGGAATTACCAAACAATAAAACAAGGCCTTAGCATTCCATGATAAAATTTTGAAAGCGCAAATTCTAAATTCCTCTATATTATGTCGATCTGAGAATGACGTATTTTCGTTTTATTGCTTTCCTGTAAAATTTACTAGTTGCTACTTTTTTTTATTTGGTGTCATCGGCATCGACTACTAAGGCCATTAGCGTCGTGTTCTGTGTAGGCTTTGTTGATGTTTCCCAGCGCCACTTTAGGAACAGCACTGTTAATTAGAACCCAACAGTGAATGGTCGAGTGGGGAATCCTACCAAGGTATCAGAATTAATTTTAAATAATTAAATAAAAAAATCCCGGCCAACGGTAGGATTTGAACCTGGGACCCTTGGATCCACAGGCAGAAACTCTACCACTGAGCCACCCACCCCCTATTTCGTGATAAGGGCGACGATATGTCTTCTTTGATATCTTTGAAAGGGATCTGGCGTGTACAAAAATAGAAGCCCGGTAGAAGGTAAAAGGACGAGGACTTTTTTTTACTTTTTTTTACTTTTTTTATTACCCACTCGTCGACCTTTTTTTTTAGAAGTTCAGTAGAAGGATGAGGATTTTTGTATACCGGATCCTCTATCAGCATCATAGTCCTTTATTCACTTTTCAACCCCAGTTGTGATTGATTTATTATAATTATCAACAAGCCTTTTGTACAACGAAATTTGAAGATTTGTTTCACTAGTAATATTTTTTCGGAGTGATCTGTATATCAGAAGATATCCTATGTATTTGGTATACATAAACGACTTGTAGAACTTGTACTTGGAATAACGTCATTATCAAAATGGATTTAATTTTCGTTGGTATCCTGTAACAATTTTTCTAAATTAGTTTTTGGTTTTCTAGCAATACTTTTATGATAAGTACCTTTGTTTTTATTAAAATACCTTTGTAATAATTGGCATTATTATTTTTAAAATATAAAGAATTTAACAAAAATCCCAAAAATATCTAATATTTTTAATATCTATTAAATTAACACAACATATTTATTAAAACCAAACAATTAGAAATAGTTCATTGTACTAGAAAATTAAAGGACAAATCGTGCGAATAATCATTAAAAATAAATAAGTCGAGTTTCTTTTTAAAATAATCACGTTAAGATTGATATAAATAGAGAGTCAATCGTTGACACAAAAGGACTCAAGGGGCGGCCGTTGGGCCAAACCTATGCCCCAAAACGTAACTTAGTAATTATTAGTATTTATTATATATAGTAAAGTGTGTGTGTAGTGTTTTAGTTTCAAAGGTAATATCTATTTTATTTTAATATGTTTAAATCTCTTGTTTGGGTTATGTATTTTAAAACAGTTCATTAGTCTTCTTCAAATGCCAATTCTTTCATTTTCGTCCCAAGTTTACTTATTAAATGTTTTTATCAGTTTTAAGGGTTTTATCATATAAAGAGTTTTTTTATATTAAAATGTTTTTGTGATGTAAAAGGTTTCTTTATATCAAAGTTTCATCATAGATTATATTATATTAGCATGGTTTATCATAACAAAGATTTACAATTGTGGGTAGTAATTTTTGCTATGTCTTATTTCAAAAATAGAGATTGTTTTGATTTATTGAAATTTGTTATTCATTTTTTACTTATATTTAAATATACGTGTTATTGTTTATTAACCTATTTTATTCTCACCTCTTTCCAAAAACCAGTAAGAAATATTCCGAGCATGTTAAGCCTCGGCGTTCCTACCCTTAAGGACTTGAGAGTCTTAAGTCAGTTGCCAAAACCGCTCGACATATGCTATTAAGGGATGTTTTTTTTTTGTATTTTTATTATTTTCTTTTATTATTTTATTTTGCCACTGGCGAATGGATGTTCCTTCAGGACCCTAGGGCTGGTGACAAGCGCTGCCTTTATCCCTTAATAGTATAGTAACAGTAGCTAAAGACCTATCAGTAGTTGTAAATGGTCTTTAGACATAACTGGTTGTTACATTTGGTGACGAGCGTTGGTCTTTAGGCATAACTGGTTGTTACACCTTTATCTTCAATGACATTTGCCTTTTTAAATTTTGGAAATTTATTATTTCTTGATTTTTTGTTGACAAAACAAGATTATTGATTATAATAGTTATCTGATGGTTAGATCTTTTCTCATTTAATTTGTTTATTCAGTTTTATTTTACTTCTTCATTATGTTGTTTAATTTTGTTATACATCTGTTTACTAATTTGTTTATGATCTTGTACATAATTAGAAATTATTAAGCGATTGTCTTAACTAGAAGGGATTCGGGTTATCAGTGTTATCAATGTGAATAAAAAATTATTCACTCAAAGGTCACATTTGGAATAGTGTTCTGTTATTTGGTCACCATATGCACAAATTCCTATTAAAAGACTTGAAATATTTTTCTTTTAAATTGTCACTACCGTACTCTTGTAAAATTCATGAAAGTTATACAGAATAAAGTCTATGTATTTATTATTAGAATTAATCTCGGCTTGATAATTAATGTGTTTACTTCCTATACTTGTGGATAAGTTCAGAATGGTAAATTGTTTGCGGAAAATATTTTATTGCTACCTACTGAAGGTTTTATTATGGACCTACAACTTCCTGTATCAATTAACAATTTTATCTTGGGTTCGCGTATTCTATATAAGGTGATGAATTGTTTGAAATATTCTGCAATTTTACTATCTTTTTGTTTTTAAAAAGGCCAATATGTGAAAATTTTGTCATCTTCTTTATCAGATTCATTTTCAAATTTAATTTGATTAGGATTTTCAAAATCACCATGACGATAATACCCATTGTTGTAATTTAAATTAGTATCATTGTAAAAATTAGAACATAATTCTTCAAAAGTAAAATTTGGTTTTGAATTATAATTTTGGAAATTTCTGTTATCATAAAATTGTTTTTTTATTGGAAAGAAGGATTTCTTGATATCGTTACATCGGTTCTGGTTTAGACAATTGGCTTTCTGGAAAATGATTTTGTTTAAAAAAAAAATTGGTATTAATGGTCCAAAAACTTGTTGATTAGTAAAGTAGTTTTTATATTATCTATTTTGGACTTAAAAAGGTCCCAATTCACTTGTCTATGCTCAACTACTGGAGGTGTCATGATTAATAACTTCCCACACTATCTGATTTATTATCTTTTAATGATATATTTGTTTAAACAAAGTATCAATTTCTGATTCACTCATAAAATATTTTTAAAATGAAATAGTAATATATAATAGTACAATTTTTTTAATACTTCTAAATTATAGGAGAGGAAAATTAAAGGATATTTGGCACTTACTATTTTCTTCAATAATTTTCTAATTCTTATTTCGGTTGTCCCACTACAGAAGAGACGACGTCCACCAATTCTTTGTTTGGAACCACATTTAAGGAATTAAAACTCCAAAGTCACGAAAAATTAATATTCAGCAACTGCGAACTCGCTTAAATTTCTTTACGACTCGCGTGTATCCTACTGACTGCGCCATTTATTAATTCCAAAACGGAACTTATTTTTTTAAATTTTATCAAGTTAAAAATACACTTAAATGGATATTTAAGTCAACTTTTGGCAAAATCTACCTCAAATAACAACGATAATAAGGTTCTACTCCTATTTATAATCTAAAAATGATTATTTAGCAGAGATACAAATTATAACACAATATATTCACAATTATTCACAATATATAACTTAGGTCTTATTTTTATGCAAATACAAGATGTACTTACTTTATAAAAAGAAAATAAAAAATCAGTATAATTTCAAAATTTTCATTTATTCGCTTTGTCTTGTTGTTTTTTTGTTTTTTTTTTTTGTTTTTTCTCCTTTTTTTTTCTTTTTTTTTTTTCTATTTTTTTTGCTTTCCTTCATTTCTCAGGCCTTAGAAGAAGACCAGCTTATGTTGATCAAAGGACCGTTTGACCATCTATTTTTTTTTAAACATGCATAATTTATAATAACTTGTATTTAATATTGTGTCTGTATTTTTTCAATGGTTAATATAAATTATTATTATTATATTTTTAGCATGAAGCTATAGAAAGCGGTAGTAAAGAAATTGTGGAAATTTTGCTTGCACATGGAGCTTTAGTAGACGTACCAGGCGAAGAGTATACAACTCCTTTACATAAAGCTGTTATTACTCACAATGCAGATATAGTTGATTCGTTATTGAAAAGTGGGGCCAATAAAAACGCTGTTGATTTTCTTGGACGAAAACCTGTCGATTATATAAACAAAGATGACCCAGTCGAACGTTTGTTTAATATAGAATACATCACAGACCGAATTGAGCATTTATTCTGTAGTAAAAAAATCATAGCATTCTGTTACTACACAGAATTGATTTATATGAAGAAACTAAAACAGAATAAAATAAAAATCGAAGAAAACTACAATCCAAAGAAAATTACCCACTTTATAATGAGAAAAAACCACAAAATATCCGTTAGTATCTTAAAAGCAATGTTAGACGGTTGTTCGATAAGGCCACAAGAATGGATTGACGATTATTTAAAAGGTAATTACTTTATAGACATTCCTACGTACAATTTCATAAGTTTGACGTCATTAAATAACGGTATTCGCAAAGCTACATTGAATAAATTGTTACGATTACCGAAATTATTCGATGGAATGAATTTCTTCATAACAGGTCACACTACTGCTGCCATTATTTACGGAATGAAAGTCTCCAAAGACTCTTTAGTTGCTATAATAACCAGCGGGGGTGGTAAAGTGTTACATCGAGCACCTACCACGTCTATTTGTGAAGAAAAAGTGAATTTTCCATATCACGCAAGTAAAAGCAACGCTAAGTGTTGTAATTATATAATTTTTCAAGAAGAAAGGCCTCCGGTGTTGATGTACCAAATGCCCGAGTTAAAGCACCGGTCATCTAAGTGGCTCATTGATTGCGCAGTTAATTTTACTATTTGCGATTAGTAATAATATTAGTATTATACTGCTAGTTTTGTTTTTAATACACTTATTTTTTTATTAATATGTTTTTTAATTTGATTTCCACCTGGGATCTTCACTAAACAGCAGATTGTATTTTTAGTCCTTCTGCACAATACTAATAACTTTCGAGCAAGTAGAGGTAAAGCCAGAGAACCAAGAAATTTTATTGAAGCGACCAACATTGTAACGCGATATTTTAATAAAGAACAAAAAATAAATTCTATGAACTTTGAATTTAGACAGAGACAAAGATTTAACATACCTCAAAATAACTTTCCACAAAAACAACAAAACCACAAAAATTACAATAACAGTTTCCAATACAACAATCAATTTTACCAAAATCCTCATTCACATTTTAAACATTTTATTTCAAATTATTCCCACCAAAACTTTGACGCTACACCTGGTACGTCCAGACAATATTTTTCAAGTCAACCTATAAATATACAACCAAGACAATTGCCCCCCTAGAAAATTCGCACAAACCATATAATGCCCCAGAACCAATGTCCACTACCTCTAGAATAATTACTTTCAATCTAGAGGACCAGCAAACTTCATTTCAGAAGCAATACATAACAGAACAAGACGATATTTAAGACAATTACAAAGAAATACCAGAAGAACAACTACTTCAAGATTTTCAGACCATGAATTTAGAAGAGAAGCCCACTGTAGAATACCTATAAATTTAAACAATCTTATGCCAAATTCATTACCCTTTATTCAAATTAAAAATTCAAAGATTAAACTACTAGTTGACACAGGTTGTCACGCCTTTTTGCTTAAACCTGTCATTGCAGAAAAGTATTTTCCAAATACAATTATAAGACAAACTACACCGATAATAACTTGTACCGACACGAAAAACGCAGAACAAAAAAAGCCACAATTCCCTTACTTTCAGAATATAAAATTTCGAACCCCCTCGAATTCATTCTATTCGACGTCCATAATTATTTCGATGGAATCATTAGAATAAAAGATCTACGAGATTTAAAACTAAATTTAAACTTCGATTCAAAAACTTTATTCAATGAAAACAAAAAAAATCCCATTATGCAGAACAAATTTCGATTTCCAAAAAATAGAAATTCCATGGAAAACTTCCATAATAAAAACTATGAGAACTAATTGATAAATGGAGACATTATAATCCCAGACATTTGCAATACAAACAATAAAATTATAAAAAAATATAAAACGTTTGTCGAAATGACACAAATACAAACGGCATTAAACGAAGTAACGAAAACATTCGAACGGACAGGTGGACGTTATTTACACCGATTTTTCTAAGGCCTTTGATCGTATTAACCATAAAATTTTACTTAGAAAACTGAATTCGGTGTCTATTTTGCATGACCTGCACGAATTATTTTCATCGTTCTTTGTTATTTTCCACAATAGGGTAAAGCATACAGTCGTAGGACATCAGATAGTTATTGGACATCCTCGACCTAAATCCTAAAAACAAGACTTCTAATGATCGAAATATAACTACCGACCGATAGATGTCAAGAGCGTCCTATATTACCTTACTGAAGTAAAGCTCAGGACATTCCAATTTGATTTGATAGTTCCGTGTTAGTGTTGAAGTGCACGTGGTAGATAGGTACGTATTGTTTACTGTTTTGTTTAGAATAACATAATTTTTACAAACGAGTTAGGTAGTTATTTTATTTACTTATATGAATGTTTAGCTATAGGTATAGTGACACAATTTTATGAAGAATAAAGTGTTTACAGGAATTATAACCTCACGTTAAGATTTTAACCCAAACATGGGGTGTCCAATAACTGTATCGAAAATGTGGATTAATTTATGTTATTGGACAAGTGTCCAATAACTGTAATTAATTTAATAACTCAAAATTGTATTTCATTTATCTGGGCATAATTCAGTAAGCATACTGTACTTTTTATTCTACTTTTAGGTTAACAGAAATAGTTATTGGACATGTGTCCAATAACTAAATTCGTAGTGTCCTATAACTGTCTTTTTATTTATAGATGATAAAAATGCCTAAATTAAAAAACTATAACAAAAGCAAAATAGAAAACGCTGTTCGGGATGTTCTGAGTAAGACAGAATCCTATAGATCCGCTGAGCGCAAATACGGAATACCTAAATCTACCATCGAATTTAGAATTAAACATCCAGAACATAAGAGTACATATGGGCCTTCCCCCATTCTTACTGAAGATGAAGAAAGAACATTGGTGAAGTAAGATTTCTATCTAGATAGTTACTTATTATCTATTTTATTTTTATTTCATTTTTTAAATGGATAACAGATATGGCACGTAAGGGATTTCCGAGAAAAGCAAACGACCTGAAGGGTAGTGTGCAAAACTTCTTAAATAATAATCCTCGAAAGAATCCATTTGTTAATAATCGACCTGGAGATGGTTGGGTCAAAGTATGCTAACAAAATGTTTAAATCAACAATATTTAACAAAACTTTTTTTTCAGGCTTTCTTAAGAAGACATCATGAACTGTCAGAAAGAACCAGCGAATCTGTTACGTCAGCCAGTGCTTGTATTTCTGAAAAGGATATTAGACACTGGTTTCTAGAAGTCGAAAATTATTTAATAGAAAAGGGGTTAGAAGATGTTATATCTGATCCTTCAAGAGTCTTTAACGGCGATGAGTCCGGATTTCAAATTAATCCAAGCACTGCAAAAGTATTTGCCAAGCGAGGCTCAAAAAACGTCTATACAATTGATAGAGGATCTTCAAAAGAAAATATCACCGTGATGTTTACATTTTCAGCCTCTGGTGACACTTGTGTACCCATGATAATTTACCCCTATATGAGATTTCCAGAAAAAATTGCAAAGTCTGTAAACCCGGAATGGGGAATTGGTCGCAGCGCTAACGGATGGATGACGACTGAAACGTTTTACGAATACATAGCGAACGTTTTTCATCCGCACCTCGTAAAAAATAATGTAAAGTTCCCAGTCATCCTTTTTTTAGACGGACACACATCACATCTAAATTATTCTCTAAGTCTTTTATGCAATGAATTGCAAATAGAGATATTTGCGCTCTACCCAAATGCCACAAGAATTTTACAGCCATGTGATGTGGCGGTTTTTCGGCCATTAAAAGAGGCTTGGCGTCGAACAGTTAGACAATGGGATGAAGAACATCCAGGAGAAGTACTCAACAAGGTTACTTTTGCACCTGTGCTAGAAAAAGCTCTTAATTCAAGTATTAAACCTGAAACGCTAGTGAATGGATTTAGAACATGTGGACTCTGTCCATTTAATCCCAATGCAATTGACTACTCAAAGTGTTTGGGGGGAACTATAGCAAAAAACACCGATGAAGACCCTCGATTGCCGACTCCACTAATGGATTATGAAACGTTTGCCAAAATTGTAGGTGAAGAAAAAATTACCCAATTCATAATGTTAAATGAGCACATTCCGGACGTTAGTAGTAACGATTTTCTTTCTCTCTTTAAAATTTGGCAGCATTTTAATAAACAACCTGAAAATAATAGTGAAAATGAGATTATTAAAGAAAATCAAACGAAAATTATAGATCAGAATGAATTGATTAATTATGCTCCTTCTGGGACATCAGACTCACCACCGCCACCACGGACTAATTCTATTAACATAATCTCAGTGGATGTTTTGGTTCATGCACCAATAGACAAAATTATAAATACAACAGAAGATGTTTCAATTGATAAAGCTGAAGAAATTTTAACGAAAACGACTGAAGATATTTCAACAAAAGTGACTGAAGATATTATTTCGATAAGTAACACTGAAGATATTTTAACGAAAGTGACTGAAGATATTTCGTCTGAAGATATTTCAACGAAAACGACTGAAAATATTTCGACAAATTCGACTGAATATATTTCAACCAAAGTCTTACAAACAAGCAACAAGCATCGTATAATTGATTCACCAATATTTGGGCAATACTTGACAACACCAGAAAGCCCTAAGAGAAAAGGGAAGAGAAATATAGAAAGAATTCCATTTGCAGTAACGTCAAAAAGATGTCAAGAAATGTTTGAAAAAAAGCTACAATTAAAGGACAAAGTAGAAAGAGATAAGCAAGAGAGAAAACGAGAAGAAAAATTAAATGTTAAAAAAGAAGCTGCTGCTAAAGGAAAATCTCAAGTAAAAAAAAAACGTCAAGAAATTACAAAATGTTCTGTTTGTAAGTTTACTATCCGATCCGGGAATAATGGAATTCAGTGTGATACTTGTAAATGTTTTTTTCATGAACACTGCATACCAAAGACGCACAAGCAATTTATTGTCGATAAAGAAGATACAGATGAGATTTTTCTTTGTCATGTATGCTACAAAGAAGAATCTACTGATAGTGATGCTTCTATAGAATCTAAAAATAGCTTAGATTCCGAGCTGGAAGTGGATGAACTTTATGATGAATACAAGGAATTCATAAAATTAAATAAGTAAATTTCTGTTTTATGGAAATAGGTAGTACCTATGTATTTTTTTTGTAACTTGTTTTTGTCCAAAAATAAATATTTTTATTCTTCAGTGATTTTTTAATGGCTGTCCAATAACTATCATAATGTATGTCCAATCACTGTCAAAATCGTCCAATAACTATAATTTTTTGACAATGTTTTAATTTTAATTATTTAGAAAAAATCCAAACCGTTTAAATTAATTTAAAATAATATAATCCTAAAGAACAATAATTGAAATTTCCAAAAAAAAAAAAATTGTTAGGAAAAAATGGAAAATAACCAATTTACAGATATTTTAGGGAAAAAAAATCTTAAATGTCCAATAACTATATCCTTTACCCTACTCTGGAGTTCCACAAGGTTCCATTTTTGGACCGCTATTTTTTATTATTTTTATTAATGACATAGGTCAGCATCTAGACACTAAATTTCTAATCTACGCGGATGATTGTAAGTTATTTAAAAATATAAATAATATAAATGACTGCTTAGTATTACAAAATAACATGAGCTGATTCAAAACTGGTGTAATTCTAAGTGTCTAGAACTAAACGCGCAAAA